AGGCGGGCCCCGACCCCGCGGGCTCAGGCAATCCACTCACCTCAGCCTCCCAAAGGCACGGGATTACAGGCTGAGCCACTGAGCCCAGTTTACAACTTTCTTTCACCTAACAATATGTGATGGGTATCTTTTCCTATTTTTTAAATTTTTTATTTATTTGTTTAATTTTTATTTATTTCTAAGAGGCAAAGTCTGCCCATTCTGGTCTCAAACTCCCAGCTCAAGTGATCTTTCTGCCTCAGAATGTATTTACCCAGCTCTCTAGTGAAGCATTTAACACCTGCCTTGTGAATTACCTTCTTCAAGGGATTTCCACTACTGAGATTTTGTAGAGCAGGGATTGAATAACTATAGCCTGAGGGCTATATCGAGCCTACCTTCTGTTTTCGGGCCCTCTGAGAACTGAGATTGTTTTTTACATCTTTAAGCGGTTGAACAAGAAGCAAAAAAAGAACATTTTGTGTAATGTGATAATTATATGAAATTCACAAGTCAGTGTCCATAAATAAAGTCCATTTGAAGCACAGCCACACCCATTTGTTTATGTGTTGTTTATGCTGTTTTCATAATACAGCTTAAGAGTTGAGTCACTGCCACAGAAGCCATGACCTAGAAAACCAAAGATATGTACTATATAGTTCTTTACAGAGGTGGCATGCACCTCTATGCACCTCTAGTCCCAGCTACTAAGGAGGCTGAGGCGGGAGGATCCCTCGAGCCCAGGAGTTTGAGTCCAGCCTGAGCAACATAGGGAGACTTCTTCGCTACAAGAAAAACAAAACCAAAAACAAAAAAAGTTTGATGATCCCTGAAGTAGAATGTTTAAGGTTCTTTCATTTGTCTTTTTTTCTTTCTCTTTAAAAATCTTTCCTTGAGCCGGGCTTGGTGGCTCAGCCTGTAATCCTGCGCCTTTGGGAGGCTGAGGTGAGTGGATTGCCTGAGCCCGCGGGTTCGAGACCTGCCTGGGCAACTTGGCGAGACCTCATCTCTATAATAAATCAAAAAATCAGCCATGCGTGGTAGCGCATGCCTGTAATTCCGGCTACTTGGAAGGCTGAGGCGGAAGGATCGCCGGAGCCCAGCAGGTCGAGGCTGCGGTGGCCGGGAGCGGCCACTGCACTCCAGTCTGGGTGACAGAGTGAGACCCCAACTCAAAAAGAAAAATCTTTCCTTGAGTAGATGCATTAAAATGGAATTACTGTGTAAATTTCTCCTTCTTTTTTTTCATTACTATGTATATTTTATATATTTGTATATAGGAAATACTTTATTATGAAAAATTTCAAACATGAAATTTACATGAAAAATACAGAGTAGTATAATAAATACCCATATATCCACTATGGAGATGTAAAATTGTCATATTTGTTTTCTTACTATTTTTGGAAGCATTTCTTAAACTAAATTACAGAACTGGGCATGGTAGCTCACACCTGTAATCTCAGCACTTTGGGAGGTTGAGGCAAAAGAATTGCCTGAGCCCAAGAGTTGGAATTCTCTCCAATAAATTAAAAAAAAAAAATTAGCTGGGGATTGTGGTGCACACCTGTAGTCCCAGCTATTTGGAAGGCTGAGGTGGAAGGATTACCTGAGCCCAGCATGTCAAGTCTGCGGTCGCCATGATTATGCCATTACACTCCAGCTTGGGCAACAGAGTGAGACTCTGACTCAAAAAAATTAAATAAGTACAAACATCAAAACATTGTATTCTTAACTTCTTTAACATGCGTCTCTGAAAATAAGGACCCTGTCTTGCAGTCACAAGACCATTATCATTCTTAACAAAATTTCAGAAATTAGTAAACATCATCAAAATCCAAACCATATTCAAATTTTTCCAGTTTTCCCCAAAGTGTCATTTTTAGCTTGCTTGTTCAGGATCCAGTAAAAAATCCAGACTTTGCATTCTGTTGTTTTTCCCCTTAAACCTTAATTAACCTAGACTAATCTCTCCAACCCAGTCCCCTTTTTTCCTGACACTGGCTTGTGGCAGAAACTGGGCTGGTTGTCCTGTTCTACCTTCTGGAATGGTCTGATTATCTCCTCATGGTCCCTTTAATGTGTTTGTCTAGTTTCTTATTTCCTGTGAACCAAAATGTAGACCTAAAGGTTCAACTTGTTCCCTAGGAAGCATGTTTGACCCTAGTGCTTACTAGGTGACAGAGACAAATAGCGCCTGACTGTCCTGCTCTTGGTGAAGTTTTGCTTGGTCACTGAGTCCAGGTGGTGACAGTCCAATGCCTCCATTATAAAGTTGTGTTAGTTTGGGATTCCTTTCCAAGTCCAAGAGCCTGGTAACAAAATGTCTAGGTTCTTGGTGGCCTCTGGTGCCTCATTCCTGGAAAACTAAATGTTTAAATGGACTGGGCCAAGCTTCTTGCGTTTAGAAGAGATCAACTCTGCTGACAACAGTCATTTACCGTTTTCTCAAGAGATTCATCTGACCTAGGGTTTGTTGTTGCTCTCAGGGCTATTTTAGGGACACAGTGATGTACTACGGCTTTTATACCAACTCTACGATCCAGCATGGGAACAGCAGAGCATCCTACAATATGCAGCTGGCCTATATCTTTACCATCAGTGCCTGCTTGATCACCTGCTTCTTCAGTTTGCTGTTCAGGTACCGAGTGTCTGCACTGCATGATTCTGAGGCCCATTTCAGATTCAGGCAAAAATCCAAGAAACTAAAAAATTACCCAGGAAACAGTTTCTCTGCAATTTTGACTTTCTATTGCTGTCCAATCATTCCTTGTCCTGCAACATAAAACATGAGTTTGGACAGAGGAAGAGTTTTTGTGTGCTTTTCAAGAAATGGGTTGGTCTTGGTTGAGCACAGTGGCTCGTGCCTGTCACTCTAGCACTTTGGGAGGCCAAGGAGGGAAGATTTCTTGAGCCCAGGAGTTTGAGACCAGCCTGGGCAACATAGTAAGACCTCGTCTCTACAAAAAATTAAAAAATTAGCTGGTTGTGATGGCATATGTCTGTAGTCCTGGTTACTCGGAAGTCTGAGGCAGGGGGATCGATCACGTGAGCCTGGGAGGTCAAGGCTGTGGTGAAACATGAATGCTACTGCATTCCAGACTGGGTGATAGAGTGAGACCTTGACTCAAAAAAGAAGGAAAGAGAAAGAAAGAAAGAAAGAAAGAAAGAAAGAAAGAAAGAAAGAAAGAAAGAAAGAAAGAAAGAAAGAAAAAGAAAGAAAGAAAGAAAGAAATTGTTTAGTCTATTGGTCAGTCTGAAAATAAGGATGTGATGACCCCGTTGCCGGAAAACAGAGAGACTGTGACACTTAAGCTAATTAGGAAGCAGTGTTTATTGGCACCAGCATGCATCAGCAAGCTAATGCTCTAAGGTTGAGCAACCTGGAGAAAGAAGAGAAGGGTTTTACATGTTAGTTTAGGTAATGGAGGGGTCAGGTTATATGGTTATACATTTTTTTGGGATTTGCAAGGTTGTGATGAGCAGAAACAGATTTTCAAAGACCAAGTTGTTTACAGGATATACATGACAAGCAGGAGTTGTAAACTGATAACTTCACAAAGAGAGGATGGGGGGTAAGGTTGTGAATCAATTACTATCTTGCATTTACAGGAAAGTGACTTTTGGCTCTCTGGTTTTTCTCATGTTCCATGTCTAGCAGGTTTGTAGATTGCAGGTTGATTTTTAAAAAGAATAATTTTAACTGTTTTCAGCCCCTCTCTGCCACAACCCAAGTAATGATTGGAAAGAAGAATATGGATGAACAACTGTCAGAGAGGAGGTTCAGGTAGAAAACACACATATGAAAAATGTTCACCTCTGTGTTGGTTTGCTAGGGCTGCTATAACAAAGTGCCACAGACTAGGGGGGCTTAAACAACAAAATTGTATTTTCTCATAGTCCTAGAGGCCAAAAGTCCAAGGTCAAGGTGTGAGTAAGGTTGATCTTAGGTCTCTTTGCCTGGCTTGCAGGTGGCTGCCTGCTTGTCCCTGGGTCTTTACCAGGTCTTTCCTCTGTATGTGTCTGTGTCCTAATCTCCTCTTCTTAGAAGGGCACCATTCATATGGAATTAGGACCCACTTTAATGACCTCATTTCTACCTTAATTACTACTATATAGATCCTATCTTTAAATTCAGTCACATTCTGAGGTACTGGGGGTTAGAATTTCAACATTTGAACTTTGAGGGGTACACAATTTATCCACTTACAACTTGACTGCCAATGCTAATTCAAACTAAAATGAGATTTCATTTTCTATCAAACCAAGAAATGTTTCTTAAATTGGATTTACTGAATGGTGGCAAATTTTGAAACAGCAGCATCCATTTTAGTCAGCGCTTGTTATGCTAAGTGCTTCCTGGACCTGAGATACCCCATGGTAATAACAGCTGCCTCTATCAAGTGTGAAAGGCTGAATAAACTTCCTGCAGCCTCCAAAAATGCCCTTATCCCTCAGGACCTGTGAATATGTTATTTTACATGGTGATATGATTAAATTGAGAATCTTAAATGAGAAGATTATCCTGGATTACCGGGAGGGGGTTGGGGGGGGTAAAGGAATCACAAGCATCCTTCTAAGAAGGAGGGAAGCCAGGTTCAGTGGCTCAGCCTGTAATCTTGTGCTTTGGGAGGCTGAGGTGAGAGGATTGCCTGAGCCCGCGGGTTCGAGACCCACCCGGGCAACTTGGCGAGACCTCATCTCTACAATAAATAA